TTTTCCGGGTCTTCCAATATGGGAAATCTAGACAAGACGGTGTGGAGGATACCGGGACCGAAGTCGATCCAATGGAGTTTAGTCGGCATTAGTTGGCTCTGCTATGTCAAGGGCCGCAGAGCCTAGAAGTTTGCCCGTCTGCCCGTCCGCCCGTCCGCTGTAAGGCCCTTGTAGATCAGCGCCTTATTCACGATTCGGATATGACTCGCGAGTGCTGGCGCTTCTATTTTTCGCGTCGAATCAACGCGACGGCCGCGAATCCCTTCGTGGGAGCACTCTTCCGAAAATATGACTGGCGCCAGCGAATGACATATCACAAGCGCCACATGGTTTCCGAACCCTATTTCCTCGGTTCGCTACTCACTAACGACGCCGTGGAATAACCGAAGCTATTGACAAATGACAAATATCGACATCATTGGCGGTAAGGTCGGACCAATACTTCGGGTCGCGATGACGACGATGAAAGTGATGAATCGCAAAGCAAGCTGAACACGAGACGAGGTCAGGAATATACCGGGTCGCACTCGTCGCCATCCGCATGCTCCCGAATCAGTCACCAGGAATAGACACGCGGCTGCCTAGGACACAGGATTCAGAAGACTCATTTGTTTGCCATGTGTAACTGAAAATGAGGCGCAGGCGTGAGATGCGGCGCGGCGATCATTTCATGAGATTAAGTGGCTAAAATTCACAAGGCTCGGTAGCTACGTCGGTTGATCCTAAATCTGTCAACCCCGTGAATACCCTTCTACTACCGTAGGTACCGGATATCAGTTTTGAACGTTCAAACTTCGACAACCTTTCCATTTCGTTTTCCTGTTACCATCGAATCGGATCGCGTCTGTGTTTCAACTGGTGCTCGTGCCGGCACATTGGCTTATAGGCACGGCTAAAAGAGACACTTGTCTTGATATCGAAGTGATCAACTCGCGAAATGCCTTATAGTAGAAGTCGATTAGGTTCTGCAGCCAAGATGTTGAATGATAAGCCTTACAGGCAGATGCCCCCTTGCTCCCACGCTGACAGCTGACAGAGATCTAAAACACGGTCTCATGCATCTCATAGGTATCTTCATCCTCGATACTTGTCCCAGATTAGCAGGTGATGGTTTTAGGTAAGTCCTTGGATCTCTAAAGGGTGGTATCATTATTACTAAGGCACCATGCATTGCCGTAATTTTAAGATGCTGAAGACCCCCAGGATTCAAGACCCCCAACCCCCACAAAGTTGGGGGTAAGCCAAGGTGTAAGCAGGCAACCTGAGGAAAGGAAAGGCAAGGCAAGGTAAGCTAAAGGTAAACCAAAAAGAGCGGCCTACGCCGGAGCTTCTCGTGTAACTCCCGTGTCTTAGTCAGAGTCTTGTCCCCGGGTGCCACAAGTAGCGTTCCGGTGACCGGCCTCGTGAGATTTTAGTTGTTGATGTTGAGGAGACCGGGGAGAGCAGTCGGCAGGCTTCCCGTCCAGGGTTCCGTTCAATACATCCGACACGTCTACTCTGATTCTACTCTGTCGCGGCTTCACCCAAGATGCATTCCGGCACATCGGGTTCTCACCAGGCTAAGAATCGCTCGCAGCAAGGTACGTCATATCAATATACGAATATGCGAGAAGGGAAATGAACGACGACGTCACACTTCCTGTGGCCTATATGTTCTCCTTTGTTTCACTTGGTTAATCCCCCCCTACCTTAACTGTCCTGTGGGTGATATATAAGAATCGGGCCTTACGGTAACCCCGTGTGCAGCCGGCGACGGGGGGGATGTGGAGCACGGGGAACATGGGACAAGACGAGACATACATATGTCTGTCTAGGTAGTCAATCATTAGGTTAAACTTGCAAGAAGTATTGAAATTTTATTATCTACCTACACATAGCAAATCACCCGCAAACCCGATGTTGCCTTGGCCATATATTGACGAGCTATGCGACAATACTGTACACGAAGCAGCCGCGAGAATTACGCCGCGGTTCGTTCGACGGCAGTATAATAAGGTTAACAGTTTCCCGGATTCACGTTCGATAAGTCCCGAGAGGAAGAGAAGACGAGATGTAACAATATCCCCAACAATTATATTGCGATTTGCACCTATCGTACCTATTACTTTAGCGCAAAAATTCGGGAGTTTGGTCATGTAGCATCCGCGAACGCGTGGGTAATGGGTAATGGGTAATGGGTAAGCCCTCCTTTTCTTTGCGGTCGCGTTTGCAGTTGTCGTTACTCCTACGAGACAGAGACAGCGCGACGGCACGGGAGAAGGATGTCAGATTTCGCACACGTTCACCGGTCCACGAGGCTCAGTCAGCAAGCGCCGATGACAGCGGTCATCGGACTGCAGGCATCAGGACGCTCCCCGTGACGCCGGATCACTCCAGTTGCATTCCCCATATCTGACAGCTCAGATCACGGCCGCCAATATTCTTTCTTGCACTTTGATCTCGCACCACAGGCCTACGTTCCCTGGCGGTCTGACAAGTATCGGAAAGTCGCCAATCTAAGAAGGATCTCTAACCCCGGGCTCTGTCCAACACACCCTCGCAACTCGAAGATCTACGCCAAGCATCCAAGCGAGCTATCCTTGGCCGAATCACATCTCACTTATAGCTATCCCATACTTATTACATGTGATAGAACCCACGGATTGGTTTTCGTCGCTACGTCTAGAATCCGTCACGATAGTAAGTGGCACAGAAAAGACAATCCGGACTGGGCTATGATTCTCTTAGGGTATAGCGCATGAGGAGGGACGCAACATTCTTTGAACATCTTTGGCGGTTCCCATCACCAAGGGATGGCCATTGCTCGCTCGAAGAGACTCTCGGCGCGAGGGCTTTTATTCGCTTAGGGTTCCAATGGCAAAAAGGATTTCCGTCCGCGCTGCAGCTCGGAAGCAAAAAGCTGCACGGACGATGTTGCAGAATTGCGACCCTTTGCCGCAAGTCGCGAAAGGCGTTGAGGCCCAATAATGAACAGACAAATCTCGACAGGGGTAAGTTTGTTGTTCGTTGTTCAAAATAACCCCTGCACCCACACACACACACACACCAGAGACCCCCCCGTAGCCGCCATCGTGGGCGCATCACAGACTTACTTTGACAGGCTCGTTGCAGGTTCGAAATGCGCACTCTACATCTACCTCAAACTTGAAGGAGGAAAGCGTCCAGCTTTTTTAATGGCTAGCTCGCCCGTCCGCTTCGCTTGCTGTCCCTGCTTTCGTGGAAGTGCTTCCGGCTTGCAGCAAAGCAAAGCAAGCCCAGATGCGCCTCGCTCTCCTTTATCATGATGATGATGTTATACTTCCCCGACTGCGGCTGCAGCACCGACAAACGTGGCAGGCCACCCGAGGCCACGATGGCTTCGAGCAACCCACATTTGCGCGAACGCGCGATGCGGCAAGCGCAAGCCTTTTTTTCTTTTTTTTCTCTCCTTCCTTCCACTTCTCTCCTTTTCGTCTCGTAGCAGTCGGCGGTATGCGACGCACCGCGAATCAATCACATTTCTCCCGACACGTTCGCTTGCCGCGTCGTTGCTCGAGGATAGGGAAGGTAGGTAAGCAAGACCCCCATTGTCCAACGATTAATCCTGCCACCAGCATCGGAAGTGAATAGGGGATCGAGATGTTTTCGTTTCGCGATAGATAGGAAGATGCCAACGATAGATTGGGAGGTGATGAAGCAAGCGGGCAGTAGATTGCGCCCTTATCACATCTCGGAAGGCCTTCGTGCCGGGCGACGAGACGCGCCTTTTCGTTCCCCACGTTCTGTGCTTATAGGTTTCAAAGGCCGAGCGCAGCGAGACGTCGGCGTTGATTCGCCCAGCTGATTAGCCAAGTCGAGCCACTCCCAGCCGAGCTGCTTAACTCCGAGGTGTGATGCGATTGTGACGAATTATCGCCGGCACATGACCGTCGACGACGCCCAACCACTCACGCGGACCGCCGAGCCGCAAGACGACCTTCTCACGCCGCTCCACCTAAGGCCGAAGTTGTTTTCCACTTACGGGAACTACTAGCCTACGCTATTGTAGAGATCCTCCTACGGGATTGGCTCACCAGACAGATCAAGCGCTGCAAAGCTTATCCATCCTACATGATGTGCCGACATACGTGATTGCGTGATGACTGGTCTAACTTAAAGGGAACGTTACGCGCGCTTCTATCAATAGAATACTCTTATGCACGTTTATGCACGTACGGCAATGTGATAAGGGGAAGCCGAGTTTGACAGCCTTGGGACTCTCAGCCTTGCGATACTGCGTGTTTAGTGGGAGGTAGACATACACTCAATTATAATTCTATACTGGAGAACTGGCTCCTCTAGGTAGTTTCACGACGTAGATTTGGATTGACGTACGGTACCACATCTTATCTCCAGATATGGGTGCAAGCAAGATGTTCATAGACAGGTAGGCAGGACACAAAACCATGGTTTGGGGTGTAAACGATTCCTTGATTCCACATACATCCTCGCTCTATCAATTGGTCGATGATCTTGAAGTAAAGCTTGTCGCAAAATAATAGGGGATGTAAAGGGAGGTATTCGAAACTAGATAGGTATACATGTGCTTCACTGTGGTTTAATATATGCATTTTGTATATATGCCGATCTGTTTCTTCCTGCCTCCAACTAGTTCTCCTAGTCGACCTAGTATCAGGTATGTGACTTTGATGCCAACATGCACGACTGTGCGGAGGGGTTTTTGGATAAGATCGTAGGCCTGTTGGTCGGGGCGAGATGAGACAGGCTGAGATGAGATAGGATGGGCCAGTCAGACTTCATAACTCTTCGCGCAATAGCATAGTTGTTTTCCTCATAATACGGCTGGCCTTGTGACAATGTCTAAATGTTTCATCCTTGCCCTTTTCTACGGTAGAAAATGAATCACCAGCATGCAGGTACTTGACTATAGTCCCCATAGGCTCTTAGTTGTGGTTGAATCAAATGAGGCGACCAACAACTTGCGTTAAATTTAGTCGTACCGTATAAAAAAAAGGAGACAGTAACTTCACTCCGTTTCGATCGGAGAACCTCCGGACTATAAGCCCGGTGCGCTTCCCGTTGCGCCATGAAGTCCTCAGCCTGTTAGGAATCTGGAAGTAAGTTGCTGAAAACACGATACCCATAGTTATATGTAAATGTCTAGACCTTGGATATCCCAAGAGGCACCTGGCTGCCAGGAGCAGAAGACTCATCAATGAATCCAGTTCACGACTAAGATATTGCAGGGGATGTTAGTAGCCTAACTTAGTTTTACGTGCGAGGATAGCTTGAAGAAGAACCAGGCTGCTGTGGAAGGAATTACCACGCTGCAACAGCAAGACGGCTATGTTGCGACGGAGTTCTGCTACGTCTCGTAGCTTACTTCATGAAGCTATTGGGTTCTACACTGAACCTCATGCCTATCATATTCTCTATACAAGCCTGTACGAACTCTCTCGATGAATGGCTCTAGTAATCCATCTTCTCTTACGTGTCCTAGGGAGACAAGACATCCACGCGGCGGACTAGGATCCTGGGTTCCCTTTCGACCCTTTCGATTATAACTAGAGAGGCTTCATTACATGACAAAAATAGTCTATCAAGCAGTCACACCAGCTTGGTACGAATCCTTAGTCTTGTACGTATAAATTCATTTGAGCCCTGACCTCCTCGACTTCTCATCCTAGCTGTACATGTGTGCCATGGCCACGGATGGTACCAGCACGATCCTATCTAAGGGCCGTGGATCCCTCCCTTGCCTCCTCTAGCGCCCCCTTTGGGGCAGTGATCGGATCATGCCACCTTTGAACTCGATACGTAAGTAAAAGAGTACAGTGGACACTCTTATATAACTTCAAAACCCCATGTACTACAGAAACCCGATGTCTCTTCCCAAGCAGAGCTGTGTTTCTCAAAACTCATTAACGGTACAATGCTACTGTCCCCAGTCCTTCTATCCAGAACAATTAATCCTGGTCGACGCGTGGTAGCGAGCGAGCTATTTGGCGCCGCCCGCACCTCCCGGGGCCGCCGTTGTGGACGACTTGTTGCGGCTGGAATAGTAGTACTGGAGCTGTAGTTGCTGCTGCTGCTGGCTGGACTGGGCCTGGGCCTGGTAGCCTTGGTCTAGGAGGTGGACGGGCGGAGTGTAGTAGGGCTCATCGCGGGGCCACGCGGCTAGGAAGGAGCCGTCTCTCGAGGCCTTGGCCGCGTCCGCTGCCGTCCAGGTGTAAGCGTGGGATCCCGAGGCCGACGAGCTGGACTGCTGTGCTCGAGAGAGTGTGGTGGCGTGGCGTGGACGAGCTGACTTCTTCGTTGCGTGAGGCATCGTTAGGAGTTCCTGGTCCTCTTATGCTTAACTCAGCCTAGATGTTTCGGTTGTTGAAAAGGGATTTACGGAGTGAAAGATTTGTGATTGGAGATCGCCTCTGTGTTTTGTAGCTTCGTTTGGATTGTGGCTGGGAAAGTTCTGTAAGAGATAGAAGAGTGAAGATCTGGGACAGGCTTTATACTTTTTAGCTCAGTGCTAGAAGGGGCATGAGAGGAGTAGGTTAGATTGGTTTCAGTTTTCAGGCAACTCAGGCAACTCACGATGAACAGACACATTTCACGCCACCACGTTGCAGGTAATTCACGGCATCAAGACCCGGTAGACTGGATCTGCTCCACAGCCCCTCGTAAAGCAGAAACCTACCCTTCTGGAGTGACATATACCATGATAGACTCACATTGATCTCCTTTTGATTAATATCTGGGACGGGACGACGTGCTGGATCTCGCAGTTGGGGCGCACTACCCGATCCCTGAGTCATGGTGGTGGCATAGAAGTGATACGGAGGCTCGCATATTGACAAATGCTATCCTTCGGTAGAGTGGCAGCACCCATCAGACAGGGGATGCGGGAGGCAGCCAGAAATAGAAATGGATCTCGGCAAGGAAATGGATCTCGGGCAGAGACAGATGCACGTAAATATTGAATCCAGGTTTATAACACCGTGTGACAAGACATTTCACCCGGACCTCAAGAAGACTGACAACGGGCATCCGTGTGGCACTAACCAGAGACTCGCAGTACCGGAAACATGACCACTTACGTACTGCATAGGAGGTTGCGCCGCCTAGCTTGCCGAAGTTCAAGACACTCGCCGTGAACACATAATTCGTAACTATGGCCCAGCTCCGCGGGAGAGAAATTCTGTGTAGCCAAATAGATGGATTTGGGTTCGTTTTTCGATGTGGCCGCTGTATGCGGCCGACTTTTTCATTAATATCCCGGTGTCATCATGCAGGAGAAGCTGCTTGATTACTTAATAAATTCGTCGGATTCCAGCGTCAAGTACCAGAGTAACCTAACCTCATAGCTTGCCAATAGCTCGCCGGCTTCCGAAACACATCTCGACCACATTGCCACTCTGTCAATTCTCCTTTATACGCCTGTGCACCTTTTCGGGATTTAATAGGACGATTGGTACTCGCACAAGGTAACCGCGGAAGGGTTGATGCGTTACAGCTCTTCGAGACTGATTTACGCAGCTGCCTTGGTTGTGTCCGTCTCCTTGGCGTCTTCTGCGCCCTCCAGAGCCGGCATATCGTCATCTTCGGAATCATCTTCTTCCTCGTCAGCACCGGGCATGTCACCACCGCCAAGCTTGGAGAAGTCGATGCCGCTGAAATCACCGCCGCCACCTAGACATTAATTTCGTTAGACTCATTGTACAATTTCATGTTTCAGATATCTCAAAGATCTTAGCATGATGTCCAGGGAAATGCATCACGTACCCATGCCTGGCATACCTCCTGTTAATGTAGTGTTAGTCGCAATGTTTCTTATTTTTATTTTATTTAAAAAGGTGAGAGTTCTCGGATGTAATAGGGATTATGTAATGTGGTATTTGAAAAGGGAAATGTTGTTCAAGGCGAAGTGTGTGCTTGGAAAGAGTTCACATACCCATGCCGCCGCCGCCGAATTGAGAGAAGTCTTCCTCGGGAGCTTCGTTCTGCTCGTCCTCGTCGACCCACTTGTCGAAATCGGTCTTCAGGAACTGGACCTTCTTGGCTTCCTTGAGAAGGCGCGGCCAGTATTCGTCGTTCAACTCCTTCTTGCGCAGCTTAAGCTCGACATTGCGAGCAGTGTGGTGAACCTTGCTCTCGGCGGGGTCGATCTCAGCATAGAAAGGAAGGTCGAGGTGATAGGTTCGCTTGAGAGTCTCCGAGTGACCGGTGAAAGTCAGCGTCGTAGGCTGAAGGTCGAGCTTCAGGTTCTCCTTGGGGACATCGGGAACCGAGATGGTAAGGTAGATAAAGTTCTTCTCCGGGTCAGTGTTGGAGGAGCGCTGAGCCCATAGGACTAGGGACAAATTTGTTAGCTTGGAAGAGCTTCGACAGCTAGAGTAATTGAGTTTAAGCTGGCCAAAAGTGAATGCTGTTGGGGACTAAGTCCTTGTAATAGCCCAAAACTGCGGAATACGGCGGTGTTAAGTGGCGTAAACTCACCTTCGGGAGTAACCTGCGACATGATGATGTATCTACGGCGAGTGGTACGTAACAGTAGATGAAGTGAGGTAGAGGGGAAAAAGTGTAAAGTCGGCGATAGTAGACGAATTTTATAAAGACGTCGACGAACGCGGTAAATTTGTGCTTTCCTAGAACAGATGGGAAGAGGGTGGAAGAAAAGCGGTGGAATCGAGAAAATCGCAAAATATGAGGCTGTTCCAGAAAGCTTAATGATGCACCCCTCCTACTTACATCGAACCAGCACGAAAGCGGCGGAAGCAACGACAGGGCTGGATGTGCATGGGGTAAGGGGGGTAGGTGCCTAGCGTCATCGGTTGCCGGTTCACACTGTAAAGAATAGTAAAGAATAACCCCTAATCAGGCATAGGCAGTAGGCAGTACCTTCGTATCTCCAGCAATAAGCTTAACGATTGGACTGGAACGCTCAACTAACGCGCTTAGAGAAACTCCCATAGGTTTAAAAACGTTTCTTGGAAGAAAAAGCAAGATGGGATATCAATGAAGGATCAGAGAGAATAAAATAAAAGCAAAACACACATCGCAGCTGAAGAATCCTACTAGCCTTGCGCTTACAAGTTCCGACTACTCGGTTTCATTTACAAGAAGTAGGTATAATATTGCAGTTCCATTCGTTAATACACTATCCTATGCAAGTAATACAAAGAGGGTTTAGTACCTAGGTAGGTAGGCACTAAACATGTAACCTCTGGAATGTTTCCATCTGATTTTCTGTCTGGGCCCTAGTGCCTGCTACTTCATTATATATGCGTGTTACAGAGTGTTCGGTGTGTTGGGGTTCAACTAGGTACATAACCTAAGGCTGCTAGGTAGGTACATTTAATACATGTTTTGTCTTGTCTTGATAATTACATATTTCCTATGGATTTGATATTCTATCAGATATTCTATCACACATGTTTGTACATAATGTCGGTATCCATAGTCAAACACACGTGCCTGCCTATCATAGCCCTAGGAAAGCGGGTACATCAGCACTGTGCTTCGACACTGCTTATCCGGGCAATTAGCGGGGTTGGGCTGTTCCTGAACCCCCAGTCCCCTCCTTGTCAGCCTGTCAGCCTAGACCAGCCGGCAACGTCATCAGATTGCATTAACTTGCATACCCAACTATCCCGTCTATCACTTCCAGTTCCACACCTCTATTCAAACCCGGGCTGCTTTGCCAGATACCCCATCCACCGTGCCTCGGCAGGAGCCCGTCTTGTCGAGAGTCCCATCGAAACCTACCTATACGAAATACCAATCCCCCTTCTCTCAAGATGAAGGCGATCACCGCGTTATTCCACACACCAACGCCCGATGAACAGGTAAGCAGAGAACAGGGGCCCATTCCCCTCCTATCGTTCTCCTCGAGACCACCCAGCCGATTACGGAACCTTTTGCTGACACGCGCCGGTCTCGACGAATCAGATGCGAAAATGTAACGCCCTAATACGGACGAACCTGCGAAAGCTCGACCGCGACATCAGCCAGGTGAAGGGCGTGGAGCTCAAGACGAAGAACCTCATCATCCAGGCGGACCGGCGGGCGCAGCGGAACCCGTCGCAGGCGCGGCAGGC